GGCAGTCAACCCTGTTGACTTTGATTTTGACCGAAAATTCCAAATTTGTGAAAAGTCATATTTTATGCTTTCGACGTCCTGAATTCGAAGTCCGTTTCACCAAATTCAAACCCGGTAAGTTGTTTTTATTTGATTTATCATCCGATTCGATCCGTTTATCGCAATTAAGCTTCGTTTCTGATATAATTTATGTTGATATGTATCTGAGGAATTATTGGAAGTTGAATTGAAGATCAAAGGCGTTCGAATGGAATTTTTATGGTCGATCAGTATTTCACGAAAATTGAGGTAATACTTTACTACCTCTTTATGCTTTATGGAACATGTTTATATTGATAAATGCATGAACAAGATAATGTTGGTCACTTTGGTGGAGTTGAATAATTTATACACTCGATATGATGTGGTAGAAATTCTGTAACTAATTACGGATCCAATGACTAATATAAGAGATTGAGGAATTGTTAGATTAAATTACAAATTTGTGATTAGTGATAAAGAAATCAGCCTTGTATCTGCAACTTATAATTTATTTTATCAAAGGTTAAATGTTAAAGGTACTTGGGTGAGAAATTATAAGAATACTCCGGTAGGGTAAAATTACGAAAATACCCTTGTGTTATAAAAAGACAAGATTTGAATATGGAAGTTAGATAAGAGGATTTTACAGACATATTGATCTGATAAAAATACTGATGTGCATAAGAAATGCTAGTTTTGCTTAGGAAATACGGATAATCGGTTTTTAGTCTTATGAGGTTTTGTGAAGGATACTAGAAGTCTGTTAAGGGAATCATTTTCAGATCAGAGAGTGTTCGAGAAAACAATTAATAAAAATACTGATGTGCATAAGAAATGCTAGTTTTGCTTAGGAAATGCGGATAACCGGTTTTTAGTCTTATGAGGGTTTATGAAGGATACTAGAAGTCTGTTAAGGGAATCATTTTCATATCAGAGAGTGTTCGAGAAAACAATTAATTATAGGATCTCCAAATTATAATTATTTTCGTTAAGAGCTAATATTGAAATTATTTGGTTAAGAAATTACGAAAATACCCTTAAGAGGTAGAATAGTCTGAGTTGACTCTGAATGAGAAAATACTTAGAGGATTCGTACTTAAATCGATTAAGTACGGATGTAATTGTTAAGATCCTGACTTACTGCAGGAAAATTCCTGATATTCTGTTTGTAAAATCTGAGAAAGCACTTGACCCAAAAATATCCGAGTAATGAGTAAATACCTGAAGAATAATTTATCGGGGGTGTCCAGTTGTCATAATTGTTCGAAATGACTGAAATAACTGATAATATTGAATTTAATAGTAAGATCAGACGGAAGGAAAGGATTAAAATACATTGGATCTATAAAATGACCAAAATACCCATGTAATGGAAATGTCCCAAGAATATCACCAAGCTCAGGAATGATTGGATATCCTTGAGCTCTGTAATGATTAGAATAAAACTGAACACAAAAATGACCAAAATACCCTTATGGCCTATACCAAGTAAATGTCTTGGATTCCAAGTAAGCATAGGTGTTGGACTACCTTTAAAAGTAATGGAACATAATTTAAGTGAATAGTTCAACCCTAAAGCTATGTCAATACTTAAATGACATAGATATTACTTGAATGCGTGTTCGTTTTCTCAAGTTTGGCTCGATGATAATTTTTGAAGTACTCAGCCCAGCCCAACTCCATATCGCCTTCAGTACTAAGAAATATATATTCATTAGACAAATAAACCACGAAGACCAAATTGAATTAAACGGAAGTACAGTATGTATACGAATTTAAGAAACGTCTGGATTACCCTAGAAAAACCCGAAATCACTAGAATGGACTTGAATGCTAAATGAACTAAGTAGCCTCAAGGATTAAGGATTAAGTAAATGATGTGGATGAGTCTGGAAACGTTAATGAACATACATGATGTAATGTTCTTATGGACAGTGAACTACAAATCAAGCACGTCAGCATTTCATGATATAGTGGAAGCGTGAACATGAAATAAAGACATTGGAAGATTTATTCAGCGATGATTCTGAAGATTATATATAGACTAGAATTTGCGGTATTAAAATGTAAATACCCTGTAATGACAATGAATTGACCAGTCGATAAGCATTAATTCTTGGAGATATTCATCTGAAGTTGTTTGATAATGAAATCAATCGACATAGACTGTAAATGTTCTGAATCTTCATTTATTCCTTATCAGCCAAGTCACATTCTGAATAACCGGTGATTTCGTCAGTTAATGAACTCTTCCCATGGTGATTCGAAATTCCAACATTCTATTGACATACTGAAGATATGTGTTTCTCTGCCTTATAAGATTATCCAGTCCCTCTAAATAATATCCATAAACTCTGGTGTGTTCCCTACTCACATGAATATTTTATCTGATTTTCGATTTGAATTCTGATCTGATACTTGACATGGATTCTGATCTGATATCTGACATGGATTCTGATCTGATACTTGACTTGGATTCTGATCTGTTACTTGACCTGATTTCTAATATGATACTTGACCTAATTTATGTTTTGATTTTTGATATATCTGTTTACGGACGATAAATTGTTATTTGGGGGTATTGTTGGAGGTTACTATATATGCAGGTTCCTCGGCTTTATGCTCGGGGCCTTACTTGGTGTGTTGGTGGGTGTATGGTTCTGGGGAACCTACACATTATGGTGTGTTAGTGGGTGTATGGTTCTGTGGAACCTACACATTATGGTGTGTTTGGTTGGAGGGATTACTATGGTTTTTGATAAATGTTTTATGGGAGGGTGTTGTTGGAGGAAGTTATCGTTACCGTTACTGCAGGCTCCTCTACTTTGTGCTCAGGGCCTTACTTGGTGTGTTGGTGGTGTATGGTTCTGGGGAACCTACACATTATGGTGTGTTTGGTTGGATGGATTAATATAGTTTTTGAATAAAAATATGTTTTGAACTGCCACTATTTTAAAAGAAAATATATGTATCTTTTCATTGGTTTTGCGAGAACACACTAGATAACCTATTCTGATCTCCTGAATTCAGTCATCCGAAATATTTCTCTGAACTGAAAGCTCATTGTCCGTTACTACCTGAAATATCAGTAGGATCTCTGGTCAGCATGAAAATTTGTAAATGTTCAGAAACAATAAGGAAATATATATTTATCTGTATATGCATGTTCTTCAGCATCATCTGGTAGTTCTGTATTACTGAGCTTTCCGAAGCTCACTCTATTACTTAACATTGCAGGTTAAAAGAATCTATCAGTGCATCTATCGACTTCAGTAAGGGAGTTCTTCTGGCGTTGTTGCAGAGTATGATACATGTGATTAGGGGGCATGTAATTGTATTTTGATTTATATACGATTCTGGAAATCTGTTTTATTTTTAAATATAGACAAATGATTTTATAAGTTTACATGTTCTGATAAAAAGTTTCAAATTTTTCGCTATTTTTACAGTGGGTCACTCCGGTGACCCTAATGTGACAACCCAGATCGGATCTGATTACCCGCATCGGTCTGGGGGGTTAAAAAACATCATATTACAAGACTAGTATGTAAAATAGGATTTCAAGACTACAAGAAATGAGTTCCTACAAAGAAGAAACCTTAACTCAAACGCATAAATACACATCACATTGATCCTGGTAAATGTTTCACAAAATTTCCTTTCAACGCATCTAATTATCTCTCTTTTGTATTTTCATATTCGAGGACTAATACTTTTGAGGAGTGGGGGAATGATGCATGCACCAGAGTCCATAATACATGCTTCTTTGGACTAATGTTTCTACTCGAACCTATTAGAAGAACAAAGTCTCGAAGATTTAAAGCATATCTATTCGGTAAGCATAATGTGAATGAATCATTAATCTATTCTAATGTTGCTCCCTTTAATGTTTCAGATTCGAGGTCGAATATTATTTAAGAAAGGGAGGATGATACATGCATCACAAGGCTCACATCAAAGGAAGAATTAATAACTCTTCCAAATGATCCACTCGTCCAAGCCTTGGAAAAGAAGACCAGAACAATAGCATAATTGTGAAGACTTTTTGAATGGGATCCTGATCTTATTTGGTCAACATGTCTTCTGTATATACAACTGTCTATCTCTTATTTTTCCAACGGTTCTTGAATTGCATCAATCTGATATCGAGAACTCAAGATACGTTCATTTTAGTGAAGACAGCGCATGCAAAAATTCCTATACGAGACTAATAAGTGATTTTGTAAATATTACGAATTTTCAATATTTATATTGATTATTTGTAATATAATTTAATATAGGATGATGCATTATATTTTAGGATTAGATTTATTGTTTTATTAGGAATTAAGGTTAAGTTAAAACATTATTTTTAGTTATTATTATTTTATTAGGAATTAGAGTTAAAACATGTTTAATTTGTTATTATTTTATTCATTAGTTATTTAGGACCTTTATAACTCATCCCCTATATAAAAGATGCTTCATTAAACTTTGTAAATCAGATTTCTTTGATTAATAATACAACGAGAGTTCGTTTTTGCAAGTGTTGATTGCCTTGTGCCTTCGAAGTTTCTTCTCCTGGAGTTCTTTCAAGTTCTTGTGAGGGAGATTAATCTTCACACTCCAATTTGCATTTTCATCGCGACTTGGAGGGTTGGTTAGAGCCATATTATCGAGTTTGTCTTTTCATTGTGACTATGAGGGTTTGATAGGAAACTTAGAGTTATATTATCGAGTTTGCATTTTCATTGAGACTATGAGGGTTCGATAGGACACTTATCCATCTATTTTCCACAAATTCATCATCACAATCATCATCTTTATCGTTCACCTTCATAAGGGAGCCACATTCTACTATTCATTCTCTTTGTTATTCATTGAATCTAGAGCTTTATAGGTTTGATTCTTCAACAAGAGCAATGTTCATTAACCCAACACCGCTTCCCTATCATCCTTGAAATTGGAGATACTTGAAGATGCTTGGAAGGGAAACCCCAATGGCATTGCTCTGGCTAACTACGTTAAATCTTATCTTCCTGAAAATATTAGAGTCTTCGGTATATTACCTTCGCAAAGGTGAGAGCTTCGGTTTGTTGTCTGCTTCTTTTTAGTTTCTATTGGAATAAAGTTGTTAATTTTCACGTCATTTGTTTTAGTTTTGCTTCATTTTTTACATAATTATTTCATTTTTATCCCCCTTCTTTTAGGAGTTTTGATCCAAGAAGAGAATGCAATCTCTGGAAATATTCGTACCTTCTACCAGCTGAAATCATTGGAATAAAGAGTCACTTCACAGATGCTGAAACTATTTATCATATATCAGACTTCAACAGTGTATTAAATTATTTTGAGGTATCAAATGTTCTCTTTCTCTTACCCTTGTGCTTCTTGCCATCGTTGACTCACGTTTGCTTGTGATATCAAGTTGTATTTGTTAATTGCTTTTTCTTAAAGGAGAGGGCATTCTGAATGGAATCAGTTGAAAACCACCTTTAAGCTTTTGTTTCGCTAACATTTTGCCTCACATTAGACATGTTTATTTTAGTTCATTGTTCTCTTATGATTCATTTTTCTGGTGTGTGTTTTGACATATAATTTTGGGGGATAATTTAACACTTGTTCATGTCTATTATTTCAGTTATACTAGAAATTGCTCTCTTATCGATATTTATATCTTTTGGATACTTTATAGGGTGAACACCCTTTCCATAATTATACTCAAAGAGCCAAGTACAGCAGACGAGTTCCTCCTAGGCAAACTGCCAGAAATGGCCGTCCACCAAGAGTTAAATCTCATAGAGAAACATCAACTTCTGAGTCGGATGAAAGTGATGTAGAGGAAGATTCCATGATTGATGAAACAACTACAGTAAATAGTGTGGAAATGTCAAGTGGTATCGATGAACTTCTGGCTGTCTCTAGTGACAATCAGGGCACTGGCTTGAAGGATCAAAAGCCCAAGGTAGTTAAAGCAAGATGGTTATATGAGCCTGACGAGTTGGATAGAATAACCGCTTCCCACTTCAGAAAAAAATTTCGATGTTTTTGTGGAAAGCTGGAGAATTCAATGGGATTTGATTACTGATGAGTGTTTAAAATCGTTAATCTTTGCTCGTTATTTCTTAAATTTTGTGGAATTATTGCCGCTGAATTGGTTGTATTATACTTGTTTTTGTACAGGTCATTCCTTTCAAGAATTTGTGATAAAACGGGTGAATTCTGCATTTTTTTATTATTTGGTCACAACTGGAGACATGGGCACGACGCAGGCTGACATGGCGGTTTCTAGAAGGTCCAGTCAGTGACGGCTTCTAGAAGACTTTCTCCGACGTCTTTTAGAAGATTGACGAGCAGAGTTGCATTAGGAGACTAGTTTAAGTTTGAATTTAAATTAAAAAACAATTATCTTTAGGATTATTTTATTTGTTTTCTTTGTTTATCCTTTAGACTTTGAGAGGCTATAAATACCCACTTGGGGTAAGCCTAAACTCATCATACATATTACATTCTTCTTTTCTCTTTAGTTTTTATAAAAGTTTTCTCTTTTTACTTTTCAAGTTTTTTTCAATTTTTTCATTTTTTCAAGCTTTGTTTTTTAAAATGCTAAGTATGACTTTTGTCATGCTTAGCTAAACTTTTCATAAGCCGAGAGCTGTCGCGATGACTCAATTCCATCGGGAGAATTGAAACAGACCCTTAATATCTTCAGAATATCTCTCTCAATCTTTGTACTTATTTTTCAAAATCAAAACAGTTTTCAAAATCAAAGATTAACTTTGGTCAAGAGGTTGTTGCTATTAAATGTGTGGGAGGAAGATTCGGCTTATAGAAAGCAATTTGACTTCTTGGGAACACACTTGGCGAGATAGCTTCGTCAAGAGGGAATTGAGATCGGAATTGACGGTTATCGAAGCAACAATCCGAGTCAGACGCCATGAACTTAAACGGTAATTGATCTACAACAATTGATGTTGTTAGAATCAATTACCGAAGCCGGAATCAAAGATTGCCTTGAGTATTCGATATACAAGATAGAGTCACGGGATAACCCTTGTAGACAAAGCAACCGACGTGAATCCCGAAGAGAAAACCTTATTCGATGATCATAAGGAAATTGAGTCAAAGCGAAGCTTGAGGCTACTTTTACCGTATTTATTCACAATCTTCATCTTCTTATTTTTACTTTAATTGCTTTTACTTATTTAATCGCTTTTATTATTTTAATATTTTCTTACCAAAATTCTCTTCCATTTTTACTGTTTCACGCCTGGCATAAATAAATCATACAGAAATTTATAATTTTCTAAGTCCCTGTGGAATCGACTCTTACTTCTCTATATTACGTACTTCTTTTATTTATTGATTAAGAATAAGGAATTTATTTTGACATCGAAAACGACAGTTGTCAATTACATTGAAATTTCCATTTGGGGAGTCTTTCATGTTGTATCAGGTAAAGCCTTTTAAATCACTGAATTAGGATGTACGTTGCTTAGGGTGGCATGCACTTTTTTTGCATACTGTTTGACAAAGTCTATAACATTAAATGCTGTATATTGTGCAGATCAGCAAAATGGTCGGAACTGCCATAGCTGTGAAGCTCAAGTTGCTACCGAGAGATATTCTAACATTATCACTAGCCAAGTTCTCAAGGTTGTCCTTCCACTTGCTCCCTCTGAAGTTCTAATTTTGAGGGGGAACACATTCATATTGAGGAATATACCTGGTAGTGTAACAAGAACTGAAATGCTGGCAATGGTTGAATCGGAAGAAATCCTCAAGGAAGTCGACAAGTTCTACGCATCTGTAATGTTGCCACAAGTTTCAAAATTCTTGGACCCTTCCAAATCTCCCTGGAAAGAAGGGTCGAAAATTAAGATTTTAACACGGGCATTCCCGATGTGGAGTTGAATGACGTCAGGAATGCTTGGAAGGAGTGGAAGGAAAAGTTGCCGGTTAGGCAAACAACTTCTGCATCAGAAGTGAACCTATAAAACAGTGTAGTGCTCACACAAGTTGATAATAAAGTGTTTTTCCGAGGTGATGATAATGGCCTAATCATTCTTTGATTCTCTGTCAGATCAGATGAATCTAAAATCCTGAAAGTGAAGGGTATTGAAGTTGGAGTTATGGCTTGGTCGGAGAACTTATTTGAGGTAATTGATGCATGAAGGGAAGATCACAGAAGTTCGGAAAAATGGGAAGGTTCACCGACGTTCTGCTAAGCTAGGATAATGCATACCCTTTTCTATATTTGGACCTGCAAGGTTTAGAATATTTGTTAAGAGTGCTAAATTTTGGTAAAGAGCTCTGTTGTGGTTTATGGTTTGAATATTTTTCAGGAATGTATTCCACCCTGTTTGTTTTGTTGTTCCATTTGTGGAATCCTTCAAGGAATGCCAAATCCTAATTCTTGTTTTGCTAATTTAATTTTTATATATTTGAATGGATCTACAAAACTAATATATATCAAGTGATATGTTCACAACACACCATGTGAATTTTCTTAATGAAATTCAGAGGGAACTAAAGAGATTGATTATTCTTAACTTTAGTAACATACATTATAGGTTACTCAATTATTAATTCAGTTATAAATATGTTATTTTTAAAATAGTATAATTTAATTGTTTAATTAAAATATTATTACAAATATAGCATTGATGGTTAAATATTAAATGAAATAATAATGTGATACAGTATAATAATAATTTTTATCCTCAAAACTTATATATTCTATCCTCAAAACTTATATATTCTATCCAGTTAGTCTTAATTTGAAATAATTTAATAAATTAAATCTTTCATATTTATAAATTATATTAATTTAGAGTCTGTTTGTTTCACTTAAAACAGTTTCTGGAAAATGAAATCTGGAAAATATTTTACAGAAATGTAAATCATTTTTCAGAAAACATTTTCCAGTGTTTGGATGGTACATTGTAAAATGTTTTACACTGTTAGGTTAATTTTTTGAAAACAGTTTTCAGAATCTGTTTTTAATAAAGAAGCATACATATTCTATATGTAGTTTATGAGGCTTACATGATCCATTCTTTCTACTTGTTAGTTCTTTAGACTTGTACAAGTTTATTCTTTTATTTGAGAGAGAAAAGCTTAGACATGATTTATTCTAGAGATGATATCATTTGGATTAATACATCAGGCTCAAGCCGAATATACAATGAAGTTGATTGCAAGGTTCTAGTATAATTAAAATGATTACATCTTTGCTCCAGCTACCCTGATTTTGAAGTTTTTGCCTTCGAAATCTATGGAAAATGATAGGCAACAGTGTGCAAATTCTCCAGAACAATAATCTAGGGAAACAATAAAAGACATGCATTTAACACCAAAGAGATATCCTTTATTAGAGACGACAAATATTATTGAATGACTATTTGTACACTATGTTTAAAGCAGCAAAACACACGGAAATCAATGGTATAGCATCATTCCAGTTTTCATTGGCATACAAACTATTTAATCGATTACATCATACTCATGATGCGCTGTTAAGGAAATGTGTCAATGCATTGTCTGTGTCATTGTCATACATGAGTAATGCTTCGGCCACATTGTTAGCTGAGAATCCCATTTCTCGCAGTAGGATGTAGCCGGTGATAAATTCCCGAACCTAAGGAAGTAAATAAGCAACATAACGATATAAGAGAAAGAAGATTCTTTAATGAACATTTTGAAAATGCCAGATGAATATCCAGAAGAATTGTTGAAACTACTCAAGCTAAAGCAATTGGACTAGTTTTTACCCATTACAAGGCTGCTTATTCCGTGCTTCCATAACATGATATAAGGGTACCTACGTCATGGGTCACTACATTTATGGTGCCAAAAGAAAAATAAAACAGAGTAGCTGAAAAGAAGCTGAGCAGGCCACATTAAACCAAAATTACTCTTTGGCTGGTCAATAAAATGCAGGTAGACAGGATTCTATTCGTTCACCATGAATATGTATCCCAATATCAAGCATTAGAAATTCTATAATCAAGTAAGCAATTCAAATCTAACATACATTACAAAAATATGATCAGGTAAAGAATACTTCATGGCAGACCCGACAAAGTTTTACGTTGTGGCTATAATTAGTCCATACGCTAGGTTCTGATAACAAGTAAACTCATTAGGTTTTCCTAGTACATTGGTGCGACAATATATGCCAACATACCTTGGTTGGATTGTCGCCATAATTTGCAACCGCAACCATCACTGCATCACGGCTGAGTCCAGAGGCAATTTATTTGCTCACCACATGGTCTGAATTTGCACCCTGCAAATTCAAATTATTGTTCTTTTTCATACAAGATAAACCCTTAAAGCTCAACAAATATGAACTAATTCCATCAAAACAACATCATTAAAGACAAAACATCGCACATACAGGTTAAAATGTCAATGAAATACATAAAAGAAAGTCAAAAACTGTAGCTGGAAAGTGAATAACAGCGTACCATTGAAGAAGTGGTTTCGGTTGGCTTTGAAGCAAAGTTTTCCAAGCCAAGCTTGCTCCAATTCATGCTTTCTTTTTTCCGCTTTAGCCAAGATTTTCCTCTCAAAGTCGAAATCAAACTGGAAATTGCTTCGAGGAATATCCGCAACTTGAGGAGATAATTGAGGCTGCAACAAAATGGCAAATTGATTAATAAGATAAACTTATTCATTGAATTAAAACCCCAAAAGGAAGCGACCGGAAGCTTACCAGAGGAGTAATAAGATACTCTGGTTTCAAAGAAACTCTAATGCCCAATCTAGCTGCCACAAAACATAATTAGGAAAAATGAAAAAAATAATAATAAAAAAGAACTTTTTAGGAGATATAGTTTACAAGATGTTGAAGGAGCAGAAGTCTGGTGGAAAGAAGAGGCTCGGGTTGCAGTAGGGAGAACGCCGTGAGCGGCGGGTTGACCACCGACCCTTGGGTATAATGGAGCTCCGTACATCGGATGGGTTGATGAAGTGGGTTGTTGTCGGTAAACCTGAGGTATGAACTCTTTCACAGGCTCGCTAACTACTTTCAGTGGAGAACCTAAGTTTGAAGGACCATCCCTTTGTTTTTTTATACGAGGGGAACCAGATGCACTTCTTGGTGAAAGGGGGGGAGCACTGCCAGTAGGAAACAAGGAAGGTAGAGCATTGCTTATTGTTGTACTTCCAGATGAAAAGGGAGAAGATGAAAAGAGAGATACCTGAGAAGATGACCGCCTGTCTCGCCGGTCAGTGAGGCCACTGGATCGATCGATTTTTCTATGTGGAGCAAGGGACGGGAGAACAAAGTTTCTTCTCGTTGTGGAGCAAGGGACATGAGAAAGATGGAAAACAACTTATCCTTTTCTGATTTTACCGTGTTTTACTTTTCCTTTTTCATTGACAGTAAAACAAAATACGTTGACCTTGGTGTTTTATAAGAGCCAAACACAGAAAAAAATGATAAGGTTTGTAAAATTATTATGTTAGTACTGTATAGATCATGCGTAGATATTGGGCTTCGCATACCGTTTGTTTTTTTAGAAGACAGAAGTTCTTCTAACGTCTGCGTGAGGTCTTTTTAGTGCAGACATAATTTTATGTCTTCAAAGGTCTTCAAATCTCTTTAAAGAAATTAAATTTATTTTAAAATATAGATTTATTTATTTTAAAATATGAAAAAATTTATTTTAAAATATGAATTGATTTATTTTAAAATATAGACTGATTTATTTTAAAATATGGATTGATTTATTTTAAAATATGAAAAAATTTATTTTAAATTATGGATTGATTTATTTTAAAAAAAATTATTATTGTAGTTGTATGGATTATTTAAATTTTATTATTATAAAACTAAAATTATTTCAATTTCAGTATTGCAAAACTCTCTTAAGTTTAAAAAAATCAATTTATTTATATTTCAGTTTATTTTAGCAGTCTGCAAACGTTAAAAAACAAACAGTCTTCTTCTTGTAGACTGCAGACTTTTGGTCCACCTCTTCTACTGCATATGCATGCAGATGTGATCTGCAAACCTTTTACCTCTGCAAAAACAAACATCACCTTAGCCTTTTTTCTTCTAAATTGCTTGTTATTCTCCCATAAATGTTATATTACTTTCCTGTTAAAATAATTGTTTAGCAATAACTTATTATTTCTTTATGATAGAATGTAATTATCTAACTGCTTTGATTCGATGAACTTGTTTGATTCGATAATATCATAAAAATAATTAAATTGATGAAATTTTTAAACATGAATGATTAAATATTTTGAATTGAAACTAAATTTGATAGAATATATAAAATTTGGGACTAAAATATTATTATACCATGCTATATTAGATACTTGTTTCAATTTAACGAAATAAAGGTAAAAAGCCAATGGCCATCAGCTATTAAAGCTTTTCTCACCCGATTTTGTACAAGCAGAAGAATTAGAAAGACAATCTTAGAACCCTTTTCTCCCAAACGAAAAACCCAAACAACCACTTTGCAACCAATCAATCCTCATGGCGAGTAACGGCGAAAGCTTTTCAGCAACGCCTCAATCGACGGCCGATAAGCCTGTCATTGTTAGGGTTAAGCGCAAAGTCTCTCAGTCTCATCTCGATGCTTTCTGTATGTTATTTCTTTTAATTCTCTCTTTTATCTTACCCTTTTTATGTTTTCTATTGCCGCCATTATAAATTTAAATGCAATTTTGAAACTCCAAGGAAACCTTGTGTCTGTAAACATTAATTTTTTCATATTATTATTTTTATTATTATTATTATTAAATTATTATTATTATTAAAAATGTATATATATATATATATATATATATATATATATATATATATAAAATATATAAATATACAAGGCCCAAAATTGGGGCCTAATTATAATCAGACCCATAAGGCCCAAGACACGGTGGCCCAATCCAGTACAGGCCCGAACAGCTAGCCCAACAGAACCCTAAACCCAACTAGGATTTCACACGTCCCAATCGCCGCCATCTCAAGAGTTTCCAGACACCTCTGATGCACCACGCGGCTGCCGTTTCCTCTGCCAGGTGGTCCAACCGACGCTACCGACGTTTTCAATGCCAGGTGCTTCAACCACCATGCCGCCGTCCTCAGCAGCTGCCACGACCCCTCCACGCGTCGTCATTCTTCGGTGAGTCACCACAAGTTCGGTGACTCACCGAAACCCATCTTCATGACCGGTCCGAGCAAGGCTCCATGGTGGTTATAAAAAGCCACTATACCTGCGAAGGAAAAGGGGAGCACCAGAAAATAAAAAAGAAAAACGGAGAGAAGAACGAAAGACAGAGAGACACAATAACACCACTACAACAACAACCAAGAACACCCGAGCAAACAGCAAGGTTCCAAATACCAACAACAAGCAACATATTGAAAGCAACTGAGAGTAACGAACGAGGGAAAGAGAGCAAACAGTCTTTGTTAGATCTAGGAAGATTTATAGGGTTTTAGGAAAAAGAGAGGTCATATTTGGCCTTAAAGTAAAAAAGGGGTCATTCAGGGCTATTTTATCAAATTTCGGCCACCACGTACGGTGGTCGGCGGCGGTGTCGGAGCCGAAGTACGGCTGTCGGCCGATTTCTGATCTCTCCGGGCGAAGTTTTTAGAGAGAAAAGAGAAAAAAATTTCTCTCTGTTAGAGAGAAAATGAAAAAATGAGAAATGAGAGAATAATGGCCCTGTGGTCGGTTTAGAGGTATATATAGCCTCACCAAAACGCCGCCGTTTTGGTAAGGGTATTTCTATAATTTCTCACAGGGGTAAACCCCATCCGCAATGCTCCAAGTTTATGCACTTTACAATTTAGTCACTGAAATTGACTTTTAATCAATTCAATTTAGTATTTAAATTTTATTTTAACATATTTTAGCCATTAACTGTATTTATATACATTTAGGGTAAATAACCGATTTAGTCCCTTATTATTTAATTAATATTTATTTTAATCCCGTATAATTATATAGGTTAAATTACATTGTTAATATTTATGTTTTATAATATTTCGAATTGGAGCTTTTAATTTTAATAATCGATATTTTAATCATTGATTAATAATTAAGAGTTAAATTACTATTATTAATTATATTTCAAGTTATGTTCATTAATTTAGATAATTTATATTTTAATACTATAGTTTTTTTATTTCATTTATTTATTTATTTACAATGTTATTTTATTATTACTTTTAATATATGTAAATTATTACCTTCATTATTTTATTATATATATATGTATATATATATATATATATATATATATTGGTTTAAATAATAATATTTATTTATTTTTAATATCAAAGAAAAGGGCAGTCTTAAAATAATTAGATGTCCTATTCTAATCTTTAAAAAATAAATAAATATTACTTATAAAAACCAGAAAACACATATTGTTTTATTAGAGAAAATTATTATTTTTAATATTTAAATATTAAGAAAGGATAGTCTTAAAGCAACTGGATGTCCATTTTCTAATATTTTTAAATAAATATTTTACTTTTATCAATTATATATATTAGTAGAAATGTTTTATTAATATTTATTTATTTTTAATATTAAGAAATGGGCTGTCTTAAAGCACCTAGAAGCTCTTTTCTGATATTTCTAAATAAATAAATATCTTATTAAATTAATATATTTTCTTAAAATTATAAATTTGAAATAACCGAATTATAAATTAAATATATCTTTGAATTCTTAAATTTTTAACAATAGAAACAGTTTATAATTAATAAAGTACCAATTTTGGGCATTGTAGGGGTGATAATCCTTCCCTAAATGTATCCGACCACGAATCCCTTTTTATTTCTAAAAAGAATGAATTTTTGGTTAAACGCAGATCAGTTTATCTTTTAACAGATGTTTTCTTAAAAACTTTTTTAAAAGATAATTTTTAGGTATTCCATCTACCTGACTCAAAAAGGCCGATGACGACTCCCAAAAATATTTTAAAAACCATTTATTCACATCACTTTTCCCGCCGAGTAAAATTTTCGTGTCCGGGTGAAAACCGGTTACGACAGCTTGGCGACTTTGTTGAGGATTTGGTCAAACTTTAAAATCAATTATAAATTATCACTATTAATTAGAAATTAAAATTCATTTATTTAATTTTTATTACTTATGATTTTCATAATATTTATTATATTTTTTATTTTTACTTTATTTTCAGATATTAAATTTTTCATTTAATTATTTGTCAAAAGTTTGAATATTTCTCCTCACACACAACACTTGCATTGCATAACATAAGCTTTCTAATCAAGTTTGTCCCTTTTAAGTGGGAGTGAAAGCGACATCTTCGTGAGAATTTATTCTCCATGTCAGACCTAACAAGTAGCTTTCGGGGTTCATATGCTCTATGTCTTCGTGAGAATTTATTCTCCGTTTCAGGCATAAAGAAATGTGTCCCCTCGAATTGAACTCGGTCCGCTTAAGTCTGTGATGGACTAGGATTGAGGGTTGACAGCCCAAGGGGGCATCGACAAGGACAGTTCGAGTACCTTTACTCTTAGAACTGAAACCCTGCATATAATAAACCCTAGAAATTCTCCTGACCTAAGACTGTACTGAACCTCTGTCCATAGGTATACACAAAGGAGAAATAAGCTTTAGTTTTTAATTTATTTCCTTTTGTTTTTCTGAATAAATGCATGTGAACTAGAAATCATGCGGTTAGGTTAATTTCTTCCAAACAAAGCATGGAACTAGAAAGCATGAAGTTAGGATTTATACATTGATAGATAGATTTTTTCATTAGTTGGTACTAACTATTTTTTTCTTCTTTTCTTACTTTCTTATTTATTTATTTTACTGTAATTTATTTATATTATTTTCTTTTGTTTGCATTGCATGATCATGGCATAACCAAAAGGTGTTTACTGGAAAGACTGTTCATCATATTGGAAAGAAATCGTAAATGGACAAAAAGTTTTATGATCAAACAAAATATGATGCGGCCAAGAAAAGACATCCTAAGAAAACTCCAAAGATAGAGGCAAGCTATGCACCCAAAGATCGTATGCCCATTGAAGAGCAAAAGGAGATACGAGAATAAGAGAGCAATGACCAAGATGATCGATAGAATATCTGTTTTGGACAAAGGAAAAGAAATTCCTGCACAGAAAGAGAGAAAGCTTAATGAAGATAATCCTACAATTTCATATATGCAAGGGACTTCTTATCCTAACCAATTTAAGAAGTTGCAGACAATCATTATATATATTCACAAGTTGTCTGGAGATATTCAGGAAATGGTGACAACTGTAAAAGCTCCCAGAGATGAGAAGAAATCATATAATCTGAAATCGACGAA